AAATGAAGTTAATGGCATTGTTTTGAAGCCAAAGTAAGAAATTGTGAGCAAATCAGCTGCTCAAATAATTCATGAGCAACATGGAAAGTCAGTGTTTTCTTCTTTCTTTAGTTGCATTCAAAAGAATTTTGGGATAGTTGTGTGATGCCGCGATTTGATATTGAGGTGTTCATGTTGTTACAATTAATGAAAATCAGTATGGCACCATCTGCTCGTATGGCAATAACCCGAAGAATTTATCCGCGCTGAATTCCTTGAATCCATATCAAGGAATTTGGACGATTAAGGTTCGTGTAACTAGGAAGGAAATATGCGGTTGTATAGGAATGCCAGAGGAGAAGGGTGTATGTTCAATGTAGAATTGACTGATGAAGATGTGAGTGTGATGCACAAATTAATATTGTCTGTAATCAATTAACAGCTGGACAGATTATTTTTTAACAATAAAAAGTTGGAGACAATCAGATAATGTTGAAAATTGATTAGCAATGGTACTGGATCCCACTTGAATGGAGGAACGTAAATCCAATGGCATTAAGCCACAAGGACTTAATTTAATTAGCCATTAGGTGTTATAATGTTGATTTTGTCTTAATCTTGGGGATTATTTGACAAAATTAAGACAATAATTAAAGTTTGTTTTTTCACTAAATTCTGTGCGGAGGATGGTTCCTCCGCTTTAATATTGTCTGTATTAATGGTAATCATTATTTTTTAACAATAAAAAGTTGGAGACAATCAGATAATGTTTAAAATTGATAGCAACGGTACTGGACCCCACTTGAATGGAGGAACGTAAATCCAATGACATTAAGCTATAAGGACTTAATTTAATTAGCCATTAAGTGTTATAATGTTGATTTTGTCTTAATCTTGGGGATTATTTGACAAAATTAAGACAATAATTAAAGTTTTTTTTTTCACGAAATTCTGTGATACCCATAAAGATTCTTGACCTCCTTACTTTTACGGAGGAACCAAAAATCTGGTGCCTCCGCGTAGCCTCCGCAGGCGGAGGAACCATTCCTGATTTCTG